AGTGTTCAGACAATGCGCGCTCTTCCGCGTCGCTGCGGCGCTCGCAGGCAAGTCGCGGCGTCCGCTGATAGCGGTCCTCGATGACTGATTACTTTTGATACCGATTATGAAATTGTTGGACTTTGATCTCCATTACACTTGGACTTTGCCCTCCGATGTAAAGAATTGAATGATTTCTAATTGATATATACACGTGCAATGACTGTACTCGACATTGAGATAGCCTTGACCTTGGTAAATCGCAAGGTATTTCCTCCGTAAGACTTAGATAATTTAATATAAGTAAATATTTAGCTACATCTATTTTTATAATAATAACAAAAACACAAAGTGTAACCGCAGTCAAGGACTAGAACTAAACTTGAAATTTTTAAACCGTAATTCGTGTAAAATAAACCTGGTCTTAATAAATCTTTGTAATTTGTACTCAAGGTCGTCAACGCAGGTTGAGCTTGTAGATTGAAGTGAGACAGCAAAAAATTTTATTTCCTTATGAAAAGCAGATGAGTGCCATTAATAAAAAAAACACTTGATATTACAAAGACAGTGCGAACATAACATACAAATGTTCATATAATCTACCGTGTTTATGTGGGACTGGTCGCCTGCCCGTCTGTGTCCGCAAGCCGCGTTTATTTTGGGTAATCCTCGTAACGACTGGGACCTATTATGATGGAACTTTGACTAGTAGACATAGCGCTCAGTCAATGCTCAGGTGTCCATATAAGGCGTTTACATTTGACATAATGTACACTAACCTTAAACAAAAGTATCTAGACAATTATATCGACGTGCGTAGATTAATCACCTGCATTTTTTTTACTTTAAGTAAATCTTATCCAAAAAACGTATCAACAAATAATAAGACTTTCTATTACTCCTATGCAATGATTTAACACTTGAAATTACACCTTATTCAAACCGCAAAAGACTTATTTTAGCTTAGTGAGACACTCCATTACACATAGAATACGTATTACCAGTAATCGCTGTGACATACATTTATGCAAAGTTAATCAATCACGTTAATGGAATCGAGTAAATACAAAACTATACGTTATTTTTAAAGCAATAAGGTGTATGTTGGTGTAAGAACAAGTTTTAAAACATGAATAAGCTATATTGTAAGTGAGCGTCCGCGTTGTTGTGCCGGGAGCGGGAGTGCTCGCACACACTTCACACGTCTTTATTTCCTTGTTAAAGATTGTTTTCTTTTAAAAAGTTAATTTAAGTTTAAGATAATATTATGTGATTATTTCTGTTGTTTGATGAACGAAACTTTTTATTTAACTTTCTTAAAATTTACCTTCATTTTATGAAATGTGAAAGTATTAACTCAAATAAATAGAAAATAAAACCCAAGTATTCATAAGTGTTAAGTGATAATGTATGTGTCAAGGGATTGTTTTTGTAAGTGTGAAGGGTGATTATATTTTTCAAAGTAAGTTTTTATATAGCTTAACACAACTTAATCCATCTCATGCGATGCGCTTGAACTATCAATTTCCTGATTACTTTTTTTCTGTGTGTGAAGTGTCTGGAAAAATTTTAATACTTCAATAAAAGGAAATCTTTTTCTAAAGATGTAGAAACCTAAAACAGTAAACCTAGATCTTAAACGTTTATTTTATTACTTCATGTTCTATTCAACATATAAAATAAATCGACATAAATGGCATGGCGTCTGACTAAAATGAATTTTGCAGAGTTTTGTTCCCTCTGTGCTTGTCACAAATTCCCAGGCTACCTGTCAAATTGTCCATGGATATTTCTCCAACGATTTTCGCTCCTAGGTACTAGTAGTTATGTAAAGCGATACTAGATATGCCCTTGCTTAAACACGCTTAGGAACTCAGCCAATTTAAGTTAGAACTAAGTAATATTTGAAACTCAAACCAATTTAAGTTAGTCTAGATAGATATCTAATATTTTGATCAAATCATACACATTGAGGTTTATAGTTTGATCAACATTTATTTAATAATAAGAGAAAGGTAAGCTATTAATCTGACAAATGGAATTGTATATCAGCAACATTAATTTTATTTTTCGCTTGACTGTAAAATAAAACAAAATAACAGGTTGATTTCTTATTTATTTACAATTTTCTAAGAAAAATGTTTAGAAAGAAGGAACGTAGTCTACTAGTTGGGCATTAAGTTTACAAAATAATACGGAGGTTATAGTTTCTATTAAATATGTTTGCAGTCGGTTGGAGCAGCAGCAGCAGCAGCTGA